ATACACCAAAATTAAGTAGAATGTAATACCCTTTCTACGAGTTAAAGTAAAATATAAATGATAAAATCTCCTTCAAAAACAGGCAGAATAGATAGCTGGTGCATATAAGCATGACCTATAGCAAGTTGAATCAAAGATGGACAACGTTTCTAGTTTTGAAGACAGAACTTTGATATTAAAAATATTAAACGACGTATGAAACCTCACTCATCTTTGGTTTACACAAGGCTAGTATTGAATCAATCCCAACCCAAGATAGCTAAACACACACATCTGCAAATATGACATATTACTATACTAGTGGTTGCAAAGCGAAACATTTTGGAACATTCTTTAGAGAAGTGTGGTTGAAGTAGTTTTTATCACATTAAAAGTAATGATTAACGTAGTCTCTGTATAAGAGAAAATCTGGATATCCATCCAAGAATTAAGGCTACGTTTTAATTCATCAGATCACCTGAGTTTTTTGTGAGATCTAGTATAATTGGTATATGATGGTGTAGAGACAAAGCTAGTTCTACGCTAGGATGAAAAGAAATAAAGTACATAATGAGTTTATTCTGTGTGGCCACCGATAAACATGAGGATATGCTGGGATGAGGTAAAACTGATTGTTTCATATTAATTTGGGTGTAGCTTAGGTTAGGAAAAGTTGGGGTATGTTGTGGCGCTAATATAATATTGGGTAGACGGTGGGGAGATAGAGCTGAGTAAATGTGAGTTTGTGATATATTTATGCTAATATATGGTTTAAACTATGTGTCTGAGAAAATACGGTAAAATTGAGAGTGATTAAACCTGGTTTTATGATATGGGAAGTAAACCTAAGTATATGATAAGGTAGGGATAAAAATGAGTATATAATATATGGCGAGAATAATCTCAACCCAAGCAAGAACGGAGATAAACACAGTATACATTGGTTTGTTTGTTTGTTTGTAATTAAGCACAAAGCTACACAATGGGCTATCTGTGCTCTGCCCACCACGGGTATCAAAACCCGGATTCTAGCGTTGTAAGTCCGCAGAAATACCACTGTGCCACTGGGGGGTAATATACATTAGAGTGGAATTAAAATTCCCTGGAGACCATACAAGACTGAGTGAAAGTGTTCTATGATGGCAGGCAATAAACGTTCGGGTGGCTACGGTGAGTAAAAACAATATGAATTAGAGTTACGTAGTATTTGTCTTTCTTTTTTAGTTTAAAACAACGACTAATAATATATTCTTTAAAATGTGTATGTTACAATACTTATAACCAATTTCATATAATTATTTTAGTATAAAAAACTATAATTTTTCCACTTGTATGTTAATATGTTCTTTGGGTGTTTATTTATACATATTTTTGTAAAAGGCAAATGATTCATAAAATAGTCTGATAATTTTTTACTCGAATTTAATTAGATTATAGTTTCTGTTAAACAGCTTTGATAAAAAAAATTGAATTGACTAGGAAGATTCTCTAGTTTAATCCACATCTACGTCAGACCCACATGCGTGTTTCTTTGCTTGCTTTTTTTTTCTTTCTTTTTTTTCTTTTTTTTGCAAGTACTGGTGGGGTTTTAGGGAAAAGCAAGCTTCAATTCTTATATAAACAATCAAAGAGAGCCCAGCAATCATTAACGTGTGTACAGATTTGACGAATCGAAACAGGTACCCCTTATGAGATGTCTTAACATACAAAAACCTGGAGACTAACACTACGACAAGGTGCGCAAATAACAGTTGAAATATTGTTTATAACATCCATAGTCAGAGTATGAGGTGATCGATCGCTGGCACGCGCTGTTCCAAGTCTCCATTGTCTACTGTAAATGAGAACTTGGAAAGGTCAAGGTCGGTATGATCAGCTTAGGGTGGATTAAGGTGAATATTTCTTTGCCTTTCAAACTTAATTTCTATTTAACTTTGTTCCTGAAATGATTAGGTAGTAGTGACGTTGCCTTTAAACCAATGTTTAAAATTTATTTTACTGAGCTCATCTTATATTTTTCTGTCGCGATTTTTTTTTTTTACCTTTTTATATCTAGATTTAGGATCGTGTATTATATATTTGTTTCACTGATAAGTTGTCATTATAAGCTCGACATCTTAATGTGGACAAAAAATCATTCTGGAAAGATTTGAATTGTTTTAATTAGACAAAAAGAAGACGCTTGGCACTATTTTCGAGGTCTAGGCCTGTGGACCAGACTTGTGACCTGACCCGAGACCATGACAGCAAACATGGAGACGTTAACTTGTAAATGTAAAGTAAAACAATGTAGCAATGAAACATTCTTGAAATGTTCTAGATGTTGTTGTGAATGTGAGGGTTTAAGTGCATTGATTAAGTTAAACCGTGGGTTTAGTTCGGATGAGGGAAGAATTATTCGAAGATACTCCAATCGATTTGACATACCAGCTGAATCGGAGATTTGTCAATTGATTACTGCATTGACAGTGAAACATAAAAAAGGGCACAATCGTATTGTTATCTTCAAAAGGGGGAATTGGAATCGTATATAAGAAATCATTAGTTTCAATATTTTATGAAACTAACACCATAGTAAAGCCCAAAGATACAGTGTTGAAGTTGAAGCAGATTCACAATGCACTACAAGATGATCTCCCTAGCGATTATCAAATTAAAAATGCAATTATTGCAATGAAGAGTTAAAATATATAAGAAGGATGGTATAATGCCCAGTATGGTACCACTATATTATAATCCATACAGATTTCATCATGTCATATTTTCAATTACATTTTTTTCTCGTATCAGAAGTTGTGCCGAGCTTCGTTCTTCGAGATCTGTCGAATGAATCCTAAATTACCATTTTCCGAAATGACCCTCCCCCCCCCTCCTGTTGACCATCCTAGGCTCAGTACTAAAGGATGCTGGGCTGACTTATGTGGTGGGTCTTAATAACACATTTTAAGTTATTAAGATGATTTTTTTCATAAAATAACGTTACCTCGAATCAGTTATCTATAAAAATGTAATAATTCTCTAGTACTAAAAATATTTCGGTTTTTTTTTCTGTCATATTAACAAGTAATGTACTAACAAAAAGCAAAGTGTAGTTCATAGATAATTTTCCGAAAATACTAGATGTAATATGCTTATTTAAAAGTTCAAAATACAATTTATAGGCTTGTTGTTAATACGTAATAGAAAGTTTCAGTAAAAAACATATTTTATGAAAAATTTTGATTCTTTACTTGAGATTACGTAGAAAAGCTTATGAACATCATCTTTAGAAGACTGTGAATTTTTGAAATATCATTAAATAATGAATTTTAACTTAATTTATGTACAGTTGGCGTTGATAGAGAACAACGAGACGTATGAAAACATAAAGAAACAGTTAGATATAAGCACAAGCTACAAAATGGGCTATCTGTGCTCTCCCCACCACGGGTATCGAAACCCGGTTTCTAGCGTTGTAATTCCGCAGACATACCACTGTGCCACTGGGGGGCAGATAAATATAAGCATACAGATATAAACACATATAAGAACATAGATAGATATAGGACAATGCAAAAATGTCCATCTGAATGCATACAATTATACATACATTTCAGTACTATTATATATATATATATATATACGTTTTAGATTTATTATTGGACTTTTCTATAATCTTCACTCATTTTCTGTTTCTACTATTTCTAATCTTGCTAGTGTTTTAGCGATTCGAAACATTATTGAAAATTGTCTTTTCACAAGTTTAAACAATAATTTAATCGTGTAATTTGCAAGAAAGACCAACGGATAATTATCAAAATTTAAAAAGACAAAGTTAATTTAAAATTCCTCGAATAACAAAGAAAAATGGGATTTTTAATGCGTGTCTTAGAAATACACTTAGCCTAGCAATGATACAAATATAAAAGTAGACAAAACTGGTACTAATATATCAGTGGTGTAGCCAGCACTACAGCGTGGGGAGATCTTTTTCTTTAAAAAATTGAACATTTTCTTCTACATCAAGAATTTATGTGACGTACCTAAGCCTAAATGAAGCTAAGCCTGCAAAATGAAAGTGTTCAAAACTTGAGAGTAAAAAACTAAAAACAGGAGTTTAAAGTACCCGCTGAGTTGTAGACGTTTAGGGTAAGCCTTTACAAGTAGAAAATTCAGAAAACAGTGAACCTTTTTGGCTTTTTAGAACACCCAGGTAGTTGTTCGACCCCCCTCTCCTCTAGCTACTCCCCTGTACATATATAAAGAGAGGGAAAAAACGTATATTAAAAGGGTAGCCTCTGAAATATCTTTAGAAAATTCGTACAATGTTTTAACACTATATATTTATATTACACATAATGACCTAATAGCAACTGAAACAACACTGACTAGTTGGTATCACCTTATGTTAGTGTGTTTTGATTGCTTATCAGAAATACAACAGAACATATAGATGAAAATAAATAAACTGAAACTTACTCCTAAGGACGATAGGCCTTTAAAGCCTTACAAGAGGCTTATTTAGTTACATCGGAGGGAAGTTCCAAAAACTTGCAAGCCCTTTCTGATTTTCGAGTGTCTGTAATATGTGGTCATGTGATAACCATAAAATCGATATGACTGCTTTTTTATGTAAGCTATTTATTACGATCTTGACTTGAAGTAAGTATATGCTAGTTATACGTATACCTCTGAACAAGTTTTCGTTGTCATCTAATGACATATTTTGTAATTTCTTTAAATTGTTATGCTTGTCTAGGGAACTGTAACCAGCGCTTCTTCAAGGTTTTCGTAAAGCTTCTTTTCGCTATCATTGCTCTAATAATAGAAATATTTGTATAATGTATCATTATTCTCATATCGTAAATGTTACTGAACACAATATGAAGAAAAGTAAATAAATTTCTACTCACTCGAACATTATTTATCTTCAAACGCAACCACATCTTGAAATTATTCATGTGCCGTTAGCAACGAAATTTACTGACGTCACATTGTTAACGTCATAATACGTAATGACGTCAAATCGTGTATACAATGGCGAACTTGGCAATTCAAATATTGACTTCTTTTTTTTCTTCCTTTTTTTTTTTTGCTGTAAAGGGAAATAAACGTAAGTATAACAATTACAATGTCTTACTCAATATTAAACAGAATAATCAATTTAGTTTATAAAACTGATCTATTCTTGGAATCATGGTAACCTTTTACATATCGTTGACTAAAACACATTGATTGCGATGTATCATTTTGTTTTCAGATACGACCTATCAACACGCCAGGTACTGAAAGATATTATCTAACTACTAACGTGGTTATTAGCGTAGACCAGCAATCACCACGCCAGTGGTAAGTTTTCCTGGAATACATTATTATTCTTCCATATAGGTAAGCTATAAATGCAAAGTGAAAAAGAAAAAACTGGCGTGGTTTTATATTTCTAAACGTTTTATCAATTACCATTTGTAGTATTAACAATTTATCTATATTTTAAAAATACAATTATATAACTTGGCGCATCATAAGCTACACAAAACGTAGTTTGACCAAGCAGATCATGTGAAATCCATTTTTAAGGAAATTGATTTTATATGTCCGTAGTCGTTAGATATGAACGTAAGAAGGCTACAATATATCACTGAAAATGGCGCTGAGTAAAAGTTTTTTGTTTATAATTAAGCACACAGCTACACAATGGACTATCTGTGCTCTTGCCCACCACGAGTATCTAAACGAGGTTTTTAGAGTTATAAGTCCGCAGACATTTCACCGAGTCACTATGGGGCTGAGTGAAAGAGAAAACACTGAAATTCACAACATAAAAAAACAGCTTCTTCACAAAAATTATTAAAACTCCCCCAACACACACATCATAAAATACGCAGTTGGTAAAGTACCTATTCTCGTTAGAAACAAACTACGTCTTAATTCAAAAATTTCTTAGACCAATATTTGACAACACAAACAATATTTGCGTCTATACTGTATTCGATCCTTACAATGCATTCCTTTTTGTGTCAATAGCGCAACTGTTTAGTCCACACAATGCATTTTTTGTGACAACACTATGGCTATTCACTTCTCCGTGATGCATTCTTTATGTTTCAACAATATAAATGCCACTCTTTCATTGTTATCTGTTTCAACACGACTGTTTACTCCACAATGCACATTTATTTTTCTCAACAACATAGCTCTTCACTCTTCGACAATACATTCTTCTCTGGGTCAAATTACAAGTGTATACTTCTAAACAATATTTTTTTGTTCTTCATCTGTTCGGTCCTCAACAATGTATATTTCTTTGTAATAACATCACAACTCTTTGCTCATCACCAGGGCAGTATTATTTGCGTCATTTTTCACTTCTTCGCAGTGCAATCTTACTTGTGTCAACAGTACAGCTGTTTAAGTTATAGGAGGAACTTGCCAAATTAAATAATATTTTCAACGAAGACGAAAAAAAAAAACTTGAGATAAAATGTTGTTTTTTATTCTACTCAACGTTTCGGCTTACATCTTTTTCAAAGAAATTTGAAAAAAACGTAAGCCGAAACGTCGGTTAGAATAAAAAAAAGACATTTATCTAAAGTTGTTTATCGTTTTCAATGAAAACGGTTTCCATCCTTTAGCCAGCACTGAAAAACTTAAAAAGTAATTTTTTTGACGTTTTTCGACACACTAAGTTTCGCTAGGTTTACTTAGCTTTATCAGAGACAAGCTTTGAATAGAATCATACAACAGTTACAATGTCAATAATAATATTACGTCTTTCGATATTAATGAAATAAAACTCAACAATGGGTAAGTAAGAAAAGATGTAATAAATATAAATATATACCTGCATGTAAATTTATTAATATTAGGTTGTTTTGCTTTTTGTTGTTGTTGTTGATAAAGAGAGCTTCTTTCATTCTTCGGCAATTTATATTGTTTTTTTTTTTGTCAATGATTTCAAAGTCTGAAAATCAAAGGAGTAATTATGTTTAAACATGAGTTTAAATGAATGAGATGGGCTTTTAAATGATATTTCAATATTGTTGAAAGAACAAAGTTAGTTTCTTCTGTGTAAGAGCTATCAGTATTTACGTTTAACGTGATACACCGACTCTGATGTATGATTGTAAGTATATTTTCTTTACAAAAGCTTGCAGGAAAGAAAATTTTACACTAAATATTGCTTTTGTAATAAAAATCACAATGGGTGAATGATCTTTCAAAATCACTGTTTAATGTATCACAGATTATTTCAAACCAAATAAGTCATTAAATGTTCTTTCCAGAGTCTCTTGATGGGCCATATTTTGTACTTAAATATAATTTAAAGACAGTAAGGGGTTTGTTAGCTCATCTAGGCCATCCCATTCACTAAATTAAGTTTTAAAATTAAAATAAAACTCCCAAAGCTAGCCTTTATTATTCAAATATTTATAAAGCCTTCCCTTAAATTAACTGCATCAAACCATCTGAAGACAATTTGTTTCAAAGGCCAACTATTCTCCTAGATAAATAATGTTGTCTTAGCTGAAAATTACTCCTCCCCTGCCAAAATTTATAATTGTGTTCCCAAGTCTTACCATTCTCAACATTAAGTACGAAAAAAGATTACGCATCAACACTATCAATTTCTTTTAATAATATTAAACATCACAATCAGATCCTCTCTAACTTTTCTTTTTTCAAGAGAAAACAGTTTGAAGATATTTTAACATGTCTTCTTATAAGAAACTTTCCCTCCCGGGTATCCTCCTAGTAGCCCTAGTCTGAGCCCCTTTCCAACAATTCAATATCCTTCATAAGGTAAGATTTACAATATTGCTGACTCCATTAATATTAACTTTGAATAGTGTGGTAGACTGTTGCAACTGTAGTCTGCTTTATGCTCCATTTCAATTTTCACTGGTAACGTAGATACAAACTGGACAGATGTCTCTTATCTAATTCTGAAATAAAGAAACCAAGAGCACTAGTATATTAGATTGATTAGTCTCATATACGTGTATTAAATATACAGGGCTAAACAGTGAGAGAATTTTTATCAATGGGAGAATGAAAAATATCAATCTTTTAAACAAGAAGTAGTGGGTAGTAGTGGCTCCTTTTGTTGCTTGTTATACTAATTCTGTAGAGTAAAATCCATTTTTCTTAATGTATAAACTGGCGATCATAATTGGCGTGGACGCATGTTGACGTAATGCAAAGAAAAATTTATATTTTCTACACAAGTATATTTTAATTAAGTGAGCCTTGATTTTTTGTGACAAATTAGAAAATTGTAGTACGTTAGGGATTAACAATACTAAAACTGATATTTAAACTTCCATAAATTAATGTGAAAATGAATGAAGGAAAGAATCCAGGCTTATCATTATCTGACTATTACAATATCACGTTAAGTTAAATGTCTGCCTGTGGAGTAAGTTTCAATTTGAGTTTTGTAAACTAAAGATGGAACACACAAGTGAAAAGTTGTATCTTGCGTGTCAAGGATTTTACGCAAATGATTCATCTTGTCTGAATTGAAACATTATGTCGAAAGCATAGCTACAATTCTATCTCTTTTTTTTTGCTTTCTTAACTTTACAGAATGGTGAAAGACCAAGCGTGGCCTAGGGGTTAGCGTGCTTGGATTGTGAATCTGAGGATTTATGGTTCGTGTTCCACATTTTCGGGGCATGGGTACACAATAAGCGTGATGGTCAAATTATACTATTCAGTCAGACATTATTACCCCAAGATATGGCAATAGGTTTTGATGACTAATTGCCTTTCCTATAATCTACTAGTTCAAAATTAGACATGACAATGTGCAGATAACACTTTTTTGTAACTTTGTGTGGATGACATAAACAAACAGAATTGTGGCTTCTTATCCTGTCAGAATAGCAAATGAAGGTATGGTATCAATTGATGTATAACAGGTTCGTTTATAACAAAAACCTGACACTACATGACATCCTCGATGTTACAGTAAATCATTCAATCACTTCAGCTTAAAGTGTATGCAAAAACATTACTTAAGACTAGAAATACACAAATATCTAAGCTTAAGAGCTTTTTGGACTTAAAATAGGCTAACCCTTTCCGTCCAACATAATTTTGCGAAGACGCAAAAAAGTGCATTTGGAGACATTTGTTGGGTGATCTAAAAATAGCTAACCAGCTGGCTGTATAGCAGTAAAATCGATCACGTAAAAAGCTGTAGACTGCTCAGTATGTAAGATTTAAGGTCTTGTACAATCTGGCAGTTGCTTCGGGAAACTTTCCAATAATACCATTGTAGTTTATCTACAAACGATATATATAGCACTTCTAAAAAATCAAACAAACACAGAAACAGTACCGTTTTCTTAAAAGACAGGGAGAAATAGTCCTTTAGGTAAGTCAAGAACTTATACGTAATGAGATTGAATAAGTAGTTTTCTTCAATACTACAAAATATAAGTATATTTTTAATAAGTTTTAAGATATCAATCAATTAGTATAGAAGTACTCCTATGATAGGCTTTTTTGTTCAGTGAAAATCGAAAAAAAAATGTCAAAATATTCTTTTCTCAAGAACATACATAGGCGGTGGAACCAAAGAGGCACATGCCTCCCAATTTTAACCCGGTGGTGAAATGCCTCTTTGAAAGGAGAAAAGATATTTGTGTATAAATATCAAGAAAAGTCGCTGTTTCTGCTTTGAATTTAAATTCCACGCTTGACATAGCAAATAAGATACCCTCAATCGTCTGTACCCCTCAGTACCAAATGTTTTTCGCTGTCTACGAGAAGATCACATTTACTTTGCTTGTGTACAGAAATATGAATTGTTATAAGATGAAAATGTGTATTCACTAATTCGTTGTCAGAGATACCTGTGTTGAAACTATTATACCGTTTCAATGCAAAGAACAGGCATGTTTATAAACAATTAATGATCTCACCTGATGATGACAAAACCTTGTAGAAACATTGTACATTTGCTGTTATGTTAAACTTATATTAAAGTTTTTCTTCATTACCCATTCAAGCCGTCTCCAACCATTATTATCTTGCCAAGATACTATGAGAGAGATAGTATGCATAGTTTATTCGGTCATATACAAATCATCATAGCGTAAGTGAATGAACTGATGCAAGGTGCTAGAACCAGTTTACTTCCCTAGGTGCACAAATAAGATTCAAGAGGATAGCAACAAGCTCAACATGTAACATACAAAAGGATGAAATGCATTGTTGATGATGTTTGAAAATGATTCAGAATTCACATTATTCTTCAAAGTAGTGATGACAATCCTGAGTTTATTTAAGAGTTGGCTTTCCTCAAAGTGCCATGTGTGAGTCTAGGATACAAATCAAGTCCA